ATAAAACTTTTTCATTGATCTTAAACTTATCAACGATGTAATAAACTAAACGACATAGGCGTAAAGTCGTGTAATGTGTTTTTGAACTTTTTCAATATACGAGTCCTTTAGTAAAACTATTTTTTTTTTATCATTAAAAAACACCTTTTATTGACGCAAAAAAATCTCATTTAATTAATATTGGGAACGTGCCTGCCTTTTCTTCTTAAAATTCCGATCACTTTTTCTTAATTTTCTGAAATAATAATAAAAATTGTTAGCGGGGTACATACATACGCGTGCCCTTACTGGAAATGTACGAACGTACCCCGAAGATCAAGAACAAAATATTTTTTCTAACACAAACAAAACACATGTAGAAAAATGCACATAATAGATATATTATCTTAATCGTATTCACTTACGATATAATTCAATAACATTTGACGTATCATTAAAGCACGGAAGATCCAAAAACATTAACAAAATATGTTTACTAGTAGCATGCAAAAAACTTTAAGTTCTCTAGTTTCGCTCGCAGTGGCTGCATGTGTGGCTAACTTCGTGGACAACTGACAGTCGCCAGCGCCTACTCATCGATATAGTCGTAATAAATAGGCTTCTCTACAAGTTGTAGTAGTGACAGTATGAAGGTTCCCCGTGTACGAATAGTGCCAATCTTCCCCTACTAAATAAAACACCAGGAAAAGTATATAAATTTATTTAAATTAAAAACACACCAGCATAACACTTCAACTCAAACTCAATGAATATTATGTTGTAAACAATTATTAGGAAACAAATAACCTCATGTTTAAATGATTGAAATGAATTTATATGAACCACGTCCAAATATAAAAACAATATTATCACACCTAACTAATAAAAGATATTTTTAATTCTATATCTAGCTTTAATAATAGACAAGTTCACGGGCTGAAAAATCAAATCCGTGGTTCGAGAACCTTTGATAGTGAAAAAAAAACCTCTTTATTAAAATATAAAAGAATCTCTAGCTAGCTACGATTCTTCAACTACGGCTTCTATTTTTCACCGTTAAACAGATATGTTTTTAATAAATAATCATCACTCAATATATTTTACTACAACAATACTATTATTATGAAAGACTGCCATTCGAAATAAATGTTTTCCTCGGTAGTGAAATAATGAAGGTGCTTTACAGAGTATATAAAAAAAGAGCTATGCGTTATCTTACGGTTGATTAAATATAGAACTTATTAGTTTGTCTTAGAGCTCTAAATGATATAAAGTAAATATCATTATCAATTCACAGAAGTGCAACGACTTCCAAAGGTTTTACAGTTTGCAAGGCCAGTGACAAGTCAGTACTCTAATCATCGAGTGCGAGTCGAATTCGTATCGACGACAGACGTCAGTATTTTTAAATCTTCATTTCTAGAACTAGTTAAAAGATAGCTAATTACAGAAAAGGAATACACAAGGAATAACTTTGAATATAACATGCTGAAAACTGAATCTACCTATGATAACACTATCCCATAAGGGTAGAGCAGAACTTTTAAATACCTACCAAATATAAAATCTATTTGAAAGGGTTCAAATACATTTTATATTTGTCCCATTGTTGCAAGTGTACATTCAAAACACATTCACTACCTTAGATATTAGTTTATTTTAAAAAATGTGTATAAAAAGTACACAAGGTTTACTACAAAATGTCAATTTCCCTCTTCTTCTTCTTCTAATAATGGCTTAATGCGAAATGCGCAGTAGCACAATTCTGCCAATGTCAAGTGAATTAAATTAATTTCTACATGTAAAATTGAAAATTAAATGAATGAAAGATGGCGATGATCCACTAAGGTTTGATGAGGAAAATTGACATTGATCATAGACATTTGTCAATTCCGTGTAACTTGACGTGATTTTGACTGTATATGAAAAAAAAAGGTAAAATTTAATAAATTGGCACAAATAGCTTTGTTATATAAAGCCGGTTTAATAACCATGTTCTAGGGATTCCAAAACTGATATGAAATCGTACGATTTAAACTTAGTCGCAAACCAAAACAGTGACATTTACTGGATTCTAAAATCGACCCTATTCTAAGTAAAATACGACAATAGTCTTTGATTTTGGAACTAGCGTTGGTACAGGGTTAGCTGACCCTACATCTTTAAAAGTAATCAGAAAGAAACAAATGGAAAAAAAAAACTATTTTAATGCGAAATAATAGAGAAAACAACAGTCTTAGAATTTAATTATAGAAAAATATCACATGGCCCTTTATTCAGATTCTTAGTCATTATATATAACTACCACGGAACTTTTGTGTCAATAATATCTTTCCCATGATATTTTGAAATCAGAATAGCCACATGACCTATTATATCTATTTCGTTTTATGTACACACGGCTGCACGTTAGACTATACATTGTATAGAACTTCCCTACTAACAGAGGTCTGCTTACGGCGGTGGTGTGTAGTGTGACGTAAAACCGTGCGTACTAGTAGATTCTGTACGTCTTTATTGCGAAAGGCACATTTTCAGAGATAAATGTTTGTTTTATTGTTACTAGTGGGTAAAGTATGAAATTTTTGTAACATTTAAATAATATTATATATATTCGAGTCTGCACACTCGACGGAAATTCTACCGTGTACTAAGTGATACTTTTGCGAGGGAGTTTCCGGCAAAAATTGGACCGACATTTACGTGCTGTATGTTTTAAAATTCCGTTACCCCATATCATCGAAAATAAAAAAGCAAAGAACGCGCCCATCCTGTGGTTCTTAAATCGTATGTGAATAACCTCTTTTATAAGTAAATTTTAAGTGAATCTGTTAGGTGAAGATAATATTTATGTTACCGTAAAATTATAAACTGTAACTAAAATGTGTTACCCTCATTTATAAATTAGTTTATAACCTTGTCACATTATGAGGGTAACACATATCTGACGGATGTATGGGTTTCCTAGTAACGACATGACAGATCATCCGTCTAGTGTGCAAGTTTGAATGTCAAGTCATATATTTTGATGTTGACGCTTAAACTACATCAGGTCAGGCTTAGGTCAGGTTGGATTATAATAATTCCGGTAATATTATAAACTGACGATGCTTACGATTTTACAGTGACATGAAAAACAAATTTCTAACAAGTGAATTGTCTATGTATACATTTATTAAGATTTGACCTTTTATATTGAATATTATGTACACACGGTTGCACGTCAGGTTACTACAATATGTCAAAGATTGGCAATTGATTTTGAACTGTATCGTCAACGTGTTAAGGTTAAAAATCAAGTGGAGTGATTTGACAGATTTGTGTAACCTAACGTGTTGTTGACTGTACATACTATTTAGCATAAAGTCTGAGATTTTTTCTCGTTCAAGTGGAATACAAAATAATATATCTTTAGAAATTCTAGCAAATAAAATTAATTTGTCGTATAAGAACTATTTAAATAATCCACTGTAATTTACGCATAGTTTTATAAATGATATGAAATTCAAAGGACTAAATCTAAACATTTTAGCCTCCAAACAAAATCTAATGTAGACAAAATATTATACGAGTCAGTAATATCCAGTATGTTCATAGACATAATACGATTTAAGAACCCTCTTAAATCGCAATAGTTCCTACACTATCACCAGTAAACACTTATAAAATAGTTTTAGAGCCTTTTTTCTGTCATGCGAATCTGTTTTTATCCCATCTTATCGTATTATTATAATTAGAACTCACTGTATCTCGTGCAGCAAGTTAAGAGCAAAATGACTTAATTAACAATGAGCACATAGGTGAGTGATGTATTTAATTTTGTACTGTTGATTAAAAATATGAATTATAATTATAGCACATGTTAACCCTGTATGATGTAGCTATCCGTAGGTAAAATAATTTAAAAAAAGTCCAGTAGTTTTGAAGCCTATTCAAGGCAAACAACAAACAATCAAATCTTTCTTGTTTATAATATTAGTATATAGAATTATATCTAAACTAGTACATTCACTCACTGTACAAACTAATACGATTTAGTCGTAATAATTTTATAATGAGTTAGTGAGATCACTGACTTTATGATATACTAACCCCAAGTTGCATAAATGTCAAATAAAAATTTCATAATTTTGATGGCCGGTTTACACGTAATTAAGTAGATAAGTAGATTTTTAATTTAATTTTAAGTGGTACTGAAATAAGAAGCATGTTAAAATTTTTTTTGTTAATTATGAGCTTTATTAAAATTAATTTTATCTTTCTACTTACTTAGATTACTTATGTTTGTGTTTACATCACTTCAAATTAAGTTAAAATCTACTTATCTACTTGATTACGTGTAAACATGCCTTAAAAGCGACGTTAACCGATACAAATTTTCAAATTTAGAACATGAATTAGAAGTGAAGTCTTCTTTAAATCTTGAAGACCATTTCTTCAATGGGGTGTATGTCTATTTTCCATTAAAGTCTAAGAAATTTGGAGATAAATTAATCGAGTAAATGCTGTATTTATAATATTCAAGAGCCAAAAGGAAGAAATTGAATTGATTTCATTACTCCTACTATAAGAATATATTACGATACAAGTTTTCCGCCAGCGGCGGTGTACTACTTTTGTGTGGTCCTGTATTATACTGTTGAATCCCTCTTTATGAAAGCCACATTAAAATTCGTTGTGTATTTTAAAAGATCTTAGCATACAGATAGTGTGAAACGACTTTACTTTGTACTATGTATAATAGATTGAGATAGGCAAACAGTATTCCTAACTAATGATTGATTTCTTCCAGATCAATGATTGGATGATTGATCAAGATTACATGTTCTAAGTGTTCTTTAATAATTCTGTGACAGTGGCTTGCACTCCAGTTCAAGGTAACCAACGCAGAGATCTCGGGCTGAACTTCCTGTTGAGTCAATGTAGAAAACGACTGTTTTTATATTGTCTCAGGTCTGGGCATTGTGGTACCTTAATTGTTTCAGACCTCCAAAACCCAAGTGCTGTAGGAATTTCTATAAATGTTCTGAGCAATATATATGATGGTTTTTGATCATTCTTTTGATTAATTAGTAAAATATTCCATCTGGTTATTAAATTAGGATAGCATGTTGCTCACCTCTTTATGTATATAATATTTATTTTTAATATACCCACGGCCATTACACATGACAGAAAAAATGTTCTAAGTTTCGTCATCTAAACATCTGTCCCGTTGACCATCATCGAAGCCACTCATCATCAATACACTTCACTTACAAAAAGACAACTATTCCATTCCTTCTTACGTTTGGTACTTTGATAAATCAATACAACCTCTTTCGCGATTGTTCTTGCCTTTTCTGGTACCACATAATTCCCAAAACAACTATTACTATAATCACAATTGCGACTGCCATCATCCAAAGGAAAGTTTTAATTCCAGACATAGCTGGTTTCGCGTCCTCCACTCTATCGCGTGGTGCTTCAAACGATGCAGCGGACGGGATGATATGTGACCTGTCTTCATCTCTATTTTGCTGTAAGAATTTAACAAAAAATAATATTAAAGAGTAATTCATAAATCTTTCTTTTTTTAATTATTATTTTATAAGAATTTATGTATCATACTTAGATATTCTTCTCTAAGTTGTTCGTTAAGTTCCGGCTCGAAGGACCAATGCATTATATGTTTATTTAAAATTTCTTGTTCTTATATGACGAATTAAGGTGAAGTAGATAGTAGGGTGTATTAATGCATGATTCTTTTTACTGATTATTATTTTATAGAATTTTGCACACTGTACATATAATATATAATAAGAAACAATGTCTTGCTTTTATAAATGAATGGTTGTCAACTAAGTGTGCGTTTTAATAACAAAAATATTAATTTGTAATCAATAACTTTATCAAGACTTGTTATTTATGTACAGTCACCAAATGACGAATCAGCTCGACAGTCTTGCTATTCTGTTAATTATAAGGCGTTGATTATACGACTGTTGTAGAATTAGAGGTTCAACCAAATAAAATCTTTATTACTGATGCTGAGACAGCACTGTGTTCAACTCTATACTTTTTAACAGAATAGCACTTTTGATCTATGAAGACAATGGTATTAAGTGTATTACCGTTTCTAGCAAGTCCAATTCGTACATCTTAATAGCGATAATATCATGGTTGTCACTCAGATCTCCCGTAGTGGCTGAAGCGCCGAAATAATAACCAGTCGGCAAGAGGACATTTTCTACTTTCAAACATTCCTTCCAGGCATTTTTCCCTTCGAGATCAGTTGACACTGAAATATAATATATGTAATCTATAAGTCACGGTTAGAGTAAGTCGGTATCATCCCTGGGACTGGTGCATTGTTTAAGTTTTCCATTATTAGTGTATAAAAATGACCATGACCATGACCAGCCCTTTTACGTCCGTCCCCACTGCAGGGGCTCAGGCTTTCCTTGTGGATGGTTAGGGGGCGTCCATAAATTACGTGAGGTGTTTTTTTTTAATTTTCTGTCCCTCCCTCCCCCCCTGGTGAGATGTCGTGAGATTTTATTCAACCGCCTCCCCCATTCCCCAATCTCACGTGAGATTTTTCAAAATGCAATTTGATGAGTACTTGCGAGTATTTGCCTTGTTGTAGTATCGAATACTCAGTATCGAGTATAGCTTTTGAAAGTATCGATACCTACTCGATATCGAAAGTATCGTTAGAACCCTACAAATATGGTGGTTTGACACAGTAGATGTATAGCGTCGAAGTATGAATAAAATTATTTTCTTTTGAACGAATTAGTGAATGATCTTAATCGTATACGATTACTCTTAAGCATGTACTATCTGGATTAAATGGACCAAAATAGTATTTTTTTGTTTTTGTTTCAATCAGAAAAAAAAATTGCGTGATATTTGCCGAGACCCCCCCTCTCTCCAACGTAAGATTAGATGAGATTTGCCTCGACCCCCTCCCCCCCTTAAACATCTCACGTAATTTATGGACGCCCCCTTAAGGAGGATGGGCCATGACCCGCCACGCTGGCCCAATGCGGATTGGAGGGTATTAACGACTGCAAATGCGGCCGGGACCAACAGCTTCACGTGCCTTCCGAGGCACGGAGTAGCTCGAGATAAGAATTTTTTGGTCACCTATCCCGTGACCGACCCTTGTGAAAGTTGCTTAACGACAACGATCGCGGCGGTTATCCGCTACGCCACCGAGCTACTTATAAAAATGAACTACTCCATTAATCAGATAGACAAATAAACGCTGCAGTTAAGAACCGTTCCGTCAGGTCTGTTTTCAGATGGGTGATGATTTGATGATTTTCTATTTCTTGTGTATATAATTCCATTTCTATCATAAACCGTACACTTTGACAATGTGGACATAGGCTGATCATTTACTCATGGATATACTAATTGTCCTTTAATTATCATTAATAAAGTGTAAATTCCTTTACCTATAAGTGTGTCATCCTTATAAACTATATATATATGCGTGTCGTGGTTGTAGTTTCTGAACTTAGCTTCGCAGCCCGACAGCTGCGTGTGCGTGCCATCTCTGTCATGATCGTAGTGTAGCGACCCGTTGTTTATCATCGCCGATATGTACGGGTGCTGGTGCTGTTATATTGTACAATATATAAAACACAATCAACTTAGTGATCAGAAACTTAAGGCACCTAATGCTGTACGATTAAATGCTAGTCTGAAAACGCAAAAATGTAACACATGTCCTTCTGTAAAGCGCACACATTAGCAGAGAGGAAACACGAGGTTTTGCATTCTCAGTGCAGTGCGATGTGATGCAAAATTTGCTGTTAAAATGAGATCATTAATACTCCAGTGTAGAACCATCGCACTAATGTTTGACGTATTTAATAACCATATTTTACTCAATAATGATAAACTTGTTATGTACCCATTTATATTATTAAGTCTGTGTTTTTATACAATTAGTTTCATTAAAGTAACTCTCTCTCTCTTAATGATCAATTATAGTTAATGTAAGTTACATAATAAGATAAATACAAAGTGGCATAATGTTACTTACATTGTGTGCACCATTGTGGTTGCTATATGTATCAAGAATAATAGCCAGTCCATAGAAGTAATCCTTGCTGCCGAATACTGGGCCAGTCTGCATTCGGTCTCTCACATACCATAAAGCAAGGCCATCACCAAATAAGTCTTTACCACGACCATGGACTTTGAATTGGACTTGCACCTCCCAGTTGCGAGTGTAGCATGGCTGAAAGATTAGAATGCCTTGACCTTTTGTTCAACTGAATATTACACTACACAAATTTCTAAATTATTTTTTTTTTATAAAACTACCTACTTGGTAATACTACTGGGTTTCTGACATAGCTGACTGTTTAAGAGATCAGAAAGACTAGGGTTATGACAACCCTAAATTCTTTTTCTGGCAGTTATCATGGTCATATTTCACCGACTTACATAAAATGTTTACATATGTGGCAGTGGAACTTTATTTTAATAGCTATGCAGTCACTAAGAAATAGTTATAGTAATGGGATACCATTACTAATAAATACTCATAACAAAAAGATTTTTTAAACAAAACTTGAAAGTGGTGAAGTGGTTCGCACGACGGTTTCAAGATGTCGCTATCTCTAAGGTCCCATGTTCGATTCCCGGTTGGTCCAATTTAGAAAATTGACTTTTCTATATTATAATCATATTTTTATTTTATTTTTATTTTTTAGCTTATAAATAAAAAATAAAAATAAAATAAAAATATTCATTAGTTATTTATGTCTTCATATCAACTTTACTAAGTTAATTCTTCTTATATTTAGTAACTTTTAAAATCTTGAAGTTTATTTAGTGCATACTCAATTAAATTAAGCTAATGAAGTGTAAATAATTATTAGATTGGATCAATTTACAGTTCTACTCCAATAATCAAAATTAACAGACTAATGTTCTTATGTTCTTGTGTTAGAAAAACAAGAACTGCTTTTTTATAAACATTCAATTTGATTTAGTTTTCATAGCATTGACTGTGTTTTTAATACATCAATTGTATGTTGACCTTCCTTTCGGTTGTTTTGTAACTAGAATTAAATGAAAAAAGAAAAATTACAAAGTTTTTTTTCAGAATGAAGTAGAACCAAATATTTGTATATCAGAAACATTCTTTAAAAAAAATCTAATTAATAAGTACTTTGGTTTTACAAAAACATATTAAATACACATAAATTATAATAGAATCCATTTATTTTAATTCCATCTATATTGACCAACCACTTTATATGACATAATTACAAGCTGAATTTGATTGTCATTGAAACTTCTATGTAAAAATTCATATCATCATTTCGCTTATTATGATATATGTTGTAAGAATTTTTACAAATCATGTTTGTTTACAGTGATGGTCATGAATCTCAACCAAACTCTCCTTGCCCCTTTTGACAACTAATACTTACGTATTATATCGTCGGTGATATTCTGAAACCGCGGAATTAACAGTGTTAAAAACCGCGTATTTACAAAAGTAGCAAAATCGAGATTTCGCGGGCTTAGCTTCGTTGTAGGGATTTGCTGCGTTCTGTGATGTTGGCCGGGTCGATTAACCAATAGGAAGCCGTGAAATTGAATATCTTATAAACCGCGTATCATTATTGAAGTGGCGTTGTTGTGCCAAAAACCGCGAATCTGTTTTGTGACATCTTAGATGAACAAAACATTGCACTATTTCAGCCTAAGAAAGATGCTTGTGATTATTGTTGTTCATATAAAGCCGGCAACGTTTCTGAAGAAGACTACCAATACCACATCCAACTGAAAGAAGTGGCTCGAGCTGAAAAACTTAGCGACAAGCAAAGCGCTCAAAGAGGACTTTTTCATGCTGTGACCGCCGATTTGCAGGCAGTGCTTTTACTTTAAGACCAAATTTATGAGTCTATTCGCCTTGGGCTTTCTGCTGGAGTTGATTGCGTAGTGAATCTGAGGGTTTTTAAGTATAACCCTAACGCACAATAAAGTTTAAAAAACACTTTAAAGATGATTTCAGCCCACTTCCTCGGAGACCGAAACCTATTTCAGCTGTAATAAATAATGTACCTCCACTCTATTCATCTCGACTGCCTATATTAGACACTATGTATCAGCACTTACAGCAATTAAAGAGTGTGATACCTGTAGATTGTCACTAATTTTACGATAATTTACCATTTAAGAAAAAGTAAAGTTTTCTTGTTCTCATTTTTTAACAAAGATCTCAAATTAGTAAGTACCCTACAACAAAGTATTTTTAACATACTTAGCCATTAAGAGCAATTTTGTTTTAACACGAGGATTTATGTGGTTATTTTCCCGTATATTGTTGATTACCTAATGTACCGATGATAATTATGTGCCAAAAATTAGCTAAGAAGTTGACTGAATAAATAATAAGAAGATTTTGATTGTATTCTTTTGTTTTATTTCGACGAACAATTCCACATAAGTGACATAAAAAAAACTTATTTTGATTTTATTTGTAATGATAAATCCGCGAAAGTCGATTTTCTAATTAATTAATACATATTTTACATAACTAATGCCTAAAATATTAAGAGGAATATTTAATTTGTCAATTTAAAAGCTTAAACAATAAAAAGTTAAGTGGTTTAGTAAATATTACGTTTTTACTCGTTTCTGTAAAATTCACTGCACCTACCTTACGCAGTTTTAAACACTGTTAGTTCCGCAGATTCAGAATATCACCGACGATATACCAATCTATTTTGTTAACTTTATCTCTATTAAAGAAATACATGTGCGTAATACAAAATTTAAATTTCTTGATTTACCAAAAATACCTACTTACAATGCTTTCTCTAAGTATGAAGTTTTCATCATTTCGCTTCAATGTCATTATGAACAGATTTGAATTTATCACATTTTTAAAATTACATAACTTGTTCATAGTAAATTCAAAACCATCATAATTTCTTATCAATTTTCCATCGTTCTGGCATAACTCTGCTGATTGTTTAACCATAAAATTTAATTACTTCAAACAAGCATATTTTTTAAACATTGATATCATAATTTATACAAGAAAGTAAAAAATTAATTCATTAAATAATTATGAAATTGTTGATATAATTGTAGTATAGAAAATAAATTTACATATGATTATAGAATAACAGTTTACACATATCTATCTCAATGTTTTATCATCAAATATTCTTACTAGTTTAATAGGAAATTCATCTTAATTATAAACTAAAATTGATTCAATACAGACAATAAGAAAACACATTTACTGTTAATCATTTTATTCACTATGAATTGAAATTATGATAAAATAAGACAAGTTAATGTTGCGATAACTAAGACTTTGTCATCTATTACTATAAGTAAACTGGTGCTTTTGTATTTTTACTATGTTATGTTTTCTCAAAACTGTAGCAGTGAATATTGTTATAGTAAAATATAATTTAGAATAACTAGTGAATGCTAGTTAATCTTTATCCATTTAGTAGCTTCTTGTTTATCCCCATATGCATACAAAGCTTAACATTATTAGTAAAGGGGACAAAATTGATAATATTAATATCATAAGAAACCTTTGTTAACTAATCTCTTTCAAATTTTATAAATCCTTTGTTATTAGATTTTCACACGAGTAACACGAGAATGAGGGCTAATTAATTAGCATTAACTGAACCTGGTTTTTGTATTTACATTGTTGATTAAATTGAAATGCTGATATAAAAATATAATATAGGAAGACATTACTAGTGTGATTTTTGGCTCTAGCTAATGAAATCTCATACTTTGTATGGGTACTCACTACTGTGTTCCAGATAGCGCCAGATTTCGATTGTAAGTCTGGCGTTAGTCGTACGTAATTCGATGTAACTATCGTGCTGCCTAAGAAATCCCAGTAAGGTACTGACATGCTGCTACCTGAAATAAAATCATTTATTGTATTATTCGAGTAATTCCAACACAATTGAAGATCAGTGTCATTTGGCTTACAGGTCACTAACCTTGGTAAGGTTTTGTAAGAGAATGCTCTCTTCGTTCATAATCTTGCGTATTCCATTCTGCAACTATAAGTTTAAAGAATAAACCTACGATTTGAAGGAATAAAAACTTGGTCAACATTATCACGATTTTGCAAATTATTACGTTTCGACAAATCAACGATCAAACGTAAGAATACAACTCACTGACAGACAAATTGAATTTGACATTGAGTGACATTAGGGATTCCGATGTTATTCCGATTTATAGATCAACATCAAGATCGTCGCAAAATGAACACATCAAAAATAGGTTTTAATTATTGTCTATAAAGATTTTATTTTTTATTTTCCTCTTTAACTTACAAAACAACAGCATAAACTAATAACTTTACCAGTCCTAAATTAATAAAAAATTATCATAATTATGAATTAGTTTTTTGGATGACATTTGGATAATATATCGATTATTGTTAGAAAGAGTATCTTTTAATTTTTACCCGAATCGATTTTAGTATAGTATTAAAAACAATAGTTCCCGAAATAAAACTAGATGTCACTACGATAAGTTCTTGATCTCTCCATGACAACCTTTCCGGTTTTCTTTCAACTTTAAAAGTAAATTACGTTTCCAAAACTCAATAAACAATTCATATTCTATTTCGCTCATTTGCGACAAGAACGTGTTAACGCAAATATGTATCATTATTATCAGTAGAATTCGGCGCATCGCGCTCTACTTGCTGCTAAAACGCGATATTTCTAGCGCCGAAAATGACCGAGTAATGAAGGAAAAGGATGGCGACTATCGGTTTAGCGCTATCTCTTTCCGCTCCTAAGTTCTATGTAAGATCGGTTCATGTCAGTCAAAGATTACAATATTATGTATGTCAGTTGTCGCCGCTCGCTTGAGGAGGAAAGTGCTGCCTGGTTGCGGCAAAAATGTAACAGCTCATGGTGTCACGGTTTTGTTGAAATGGTAACTACAGCTTTTTGTTTTTTTGGTGATTTATTTTTGCAGCTATAACGGGACATTTGTATGTGGCTCATTATTGTAGTAAAAATAGTAATCGCATGCTATGGTTTACAAAGGATTATACCGTTGTTGCTGAAATAAACAATTATTTTTGTTGGTTAATTTGAGATGTTCTGTTACAGTTGATAATAAAAGTACAAAGTGTTCGGTACTAATGTTGGTTATCTCAAATTAATACTTTCTTGATAAAAAATAATACATTTTTACAACGAATAGCTTACAATGTTGCATTATAAATGATAAAAATATTGAAAATTTATTTACTGAAATTCCAGTCTTAATTACACAATCTTTGAATTCCTCTTCCAATGTCACTGAATCTATTTTAAAGGCAAGTTTAAATAATTATAATAGCCAATTTCACTTTCAACACATTGATTTTAACGATATAATAAAATCTTTTAATCAGCTAAAGAAAAGAAAACCGCTGATTTATGGGATAATTCCATTGAAGTGTCTAAATCGGTAATTGAGACAATAGCTCCAATCCTAGCTTATATATTAAATGAATGTACTGATTGTGGTATTTTTCCTGAGCTCATGAAATATAGCAAAATTAATTCTTTACATAAATCGGTAGGTCTAAAATTAGTTGGGTCCATCTGACCCATGCAGGTAGCATATATCCGTGCTACCTACATTTAGTAAGATTTTTGAAAAAATCATGCTGGATAAAATACAAACATACTTTTACATGAATAAGCTTATGAATCGACTACAATTTGGTTTTACAAGGGGTCGCTCAACAACCGAAGCCGGTGTCGAGTTAATACTAGAAATTTTTAATGCCTGGGAGGATTCACATGATGCCTTAGGTGTTTTCTGTGACCTATCTAAGGCATTTCATTATGTTTTTCATGAAACATTGATTAGTAAACTTCATTTTTATGGATTTAGAGATAACTCATTGGATTTTATTGTCTCGTACTTGACTGACAGAGTACAGAGGGTTGATACCAATGGCAAAAGATCCCCTGGGTCGAAAGTTAAGATGGGTGTTCCGCAGAGCTCAATACTTGGTCCTTTTTTGTTTTTGATTTATATAAATGACTTGCCTTATTTCGTAAGGGATGATCACGAAATAGTTTTCTTTACAGATGACACTTTACTTTTGTTTCAAATTAAAAGAGGGTTACCTCTAAATGACGATGTGAACAATTCTATCGCTAAAGTAGTACATTGATTTAATGTAAATAATCTTCTTCTTAATGAAGGAAAAACAAAATGCCTAATATTTGTACTACCTAATGTTAAAAAAGTAGATATAAATTGTGGATACCACGGTATTTTTAGGAACAAAATTAGATTTTAAACTACAGTGGGGCCCATATATTGATAAATTGTCGAGTAGACTTAGCTCTGCAGCATATGCCGTAATGAAAATACGTAGGTTAACTGACATAGATACTGCCAGATTAGTATACTTCAGTTACTTTCATAGTGTAATGTCGTACGGAATCCTATTGTGGGGGAAGTGCTGCCGACATACAAACAATTTTTGTTCTTTAGAAAAGAGCAATTAGATCAATTTATAATCAGAATACAAAAATAAAGAGATTTCTACGACAGTAACATGTCTTTATTAAAATGTTCCATGCCTTTATATTAGAGATTATCAATAAAAACGTAACAATACGACATAACTTGTAAAGGTTTAGATTTTAATCCATTTTTTTTTTCATGAAAATCGGTACATATCTGTTTATTCTGCAATACTGGATTATTTTTACAAGCATAACGCAACAAGGAGGACCCTTTCTTAAATAAATAATCATAATAAATTTTATAACTGACTTAATAGTCTGAATGCAATTTGATCCAAAAACCGAAAACCTTCAAGTTATGTTGTATTGAGCTGAACAGGCTTAACAAAATAATTAAAAAGTTACAGGAATTTGAAACTTTCAAGAGCGTTTTATCACAAATTGAGATTTTTACTTTGTCACGTTCTTGTCGCAAATGAGCGATTTGTACTTTTTCGTATTTGTATTGATATCTAAGTTATCTAAGTAAAAGGAACGGAAATGACTATCTTTGGTCCATTGGTTTTCTGCAAAAATCAACATTTGCTAGAATCGCCATCTAGTGGAGGTGCTTTTTTCGTTTTACATTTGCGATTTTGTGGCGACTGATACAAAGCGACATCTAACTTATCGCACTAACATCGCCACATATTTCAATAAAAATAATTTCTAGAGTAGGTTGAGTAAGAAATCAATCTATTATTGACAATATTACTGTAAGAACCAAAAAGCACATATCCAGCGTACGAATTAACATAGAGTTTGGCAAGCGAAACGTGACACCACCTATTTTTCCGTTTTCATATGGCAACAACATAGAACTGTCAGTTTGACACTACGTTAGACAATTCAAGAATATTGAATTTTGTTGTTTTTGCGAATTTGAACTTGTGTTTTTGGTTAAAAATTATGTCGAAGCCGATAAAAAGTTCATCGAGGAAACTTCTTTCCATCATGATTGACAAGTTTACTGAAGTGAAAACTGAATTAAATAAAAATTTCATGGAGAAATTACAACGATTAGATAAAGTTGTATCTTTTTTAGGTTAGTTTTGTATTATAATTTTGATACTTTCGTTTTAATTTTCTGTAATTAACTAAACAGATATTTTTTATAAAATATTGCTCTATTTCAGATAACTGTGATGGTGATATTCAACCAATAATGGAGGAGATAAATGCAATAAAAACTTTAGAAAAACAAGAAATGCTGAATTCGGAAACGCAGTACTTACAAAAAATTTCTTCAATGACAGGTCTCTTTTCTTGTTTTGATTTAAGATAGATTGATAGTATTCCTATAATATTTACATAGGTTTTTTATGATGTATTGGTTTTTATTGTTGACATCCAATGATGTCATAAGAATGTTTTGTTTAACAAGGAAATTCACAGAATTCATGAAACTAATCAAACCATGTAATTGTTATACATGCTAAATATGCACATAAACTTAACTAAATTAAACATAAATTGCATTCATAGTTGAATAGGTATTTAAATTATTTTGATGTATGTGTCTATCATTATTTGCTTTTAAATACATTTAACATATCTTTGTTTCAAAGTGTTTAATCTTTTATAGATGTAAGTATAAGGACACTAAGAAGGATAAAAAATGAAGCATTAATTAATAAAGGAAAATGGGACACTCCTGGGAAAAAACGACCTCATCAACCAACAGTGTCTGCTTTAGATAATTTTGATTTAAGTGCAATTCGGAATAAAGTAAATGAATTTTACTGTGTGAAAAAAATTGTTCCAACATTAAGAAGCCTTCACAATGAATTAAAAGATGCAATAGGATTCAGTGGTAGCCGTGAGACTTTACGAAAAATTATGCTTAAGAATGGATTTTCTTTTAAAAGCAATGAAAATGAACGTTCTATGCTTATAGAAAAATACCAGATTTCTGCATGGAGGCACAAGTATTTGAGAGAAATAAATATAAAACGAAACGAAGGAAAGCAAATTGTGTACCTTGATGAAACTTATGTACATCAGAATTATAAAGTTAAAAAGTCTTGGCAAGGACCTTCAACAACTGGTGTCACTACAAAGATATCCTCTGGAAAACGGCATATTGTTGTGCATGCTGGATCTGAGGAAGGTTTTGTGCCTGGTGCATTATTAGTGTTCAGTAGTAAATCCAAATCTGCTGATTATCATGATGATATGAACTCATCGAACTTTATGAAATGGGTCAGAGAAAAATTAATACCAAATTTAAGTAAGCCCAGTGTAATTGTTATGGATAATGCCAGCTACCATATAAAACAAATCAATAAACCGCCTATAATGTCTAATACCAAAGCAGATATCCGTAAATGGCTTGTAAATAATGGAATACATTTTGAGGAATATCAGACAAAGGCAGAGTTAATGTGTTTGGTTAATGATAAGAAAACATTGCCTGTATATGAAGCTGAAGAGATTTTAAAAGAACATAATCATGAACTTTTATTGCTGCCACCGTATCATTGTGACTTAAACCCAATAGAGATGGTTTGGAGTCAAGCAAAAAGAAAAATTGCAAGCAGAAACATTGGAATACCAGGAAAGGAAATGGAAAACTTAATAATAGAGTGTTTTAACTTAATTACCCCTAGTGACTGGAAGAAATACACTGATCATGTTTTAA